CTCTGTCCTGTAGGGTCTCTATGGGTTGGAATTGACTTGACGGCAGCGGGGTTTGGTTTGGTTTGGATCTGTTTCTCCCCGTGAGCTTTTCCCTTACCTTTTTTTTAAAAGAAAGGAGAACGTTCATTTTATGAAGGTCTCATCCCTGTCCCACCTTGTTTTCTGCGGTTAAATAACACATGAAGCAGCTAGCAGAGACTTAGCCAGATGGAATGTGCTGCTTCTCTGCCAGAGCACACAAAGGCAGAGACGGAGAGTTTGCCAGGGGCAAAGTGGGGAGACAGAAAATTAGCCAGCTGTCTTTTTTTTCCCTCTCTTTTGCTCTTGATCCCTTCCCTACTTATTTCTGGCTCCAGATTGCTTGTACCTTCCCTGTACTAGGAGTATAGGACTATTGGTGATGTCCACTCTAGTGAAAATTCAGCCATGAACAGAGATATGAGTAGTAAGCTAGGGCAACAGTAGCTGCCTAGTCTTTTTTTCTTCTGAAAGAGAAGAGTAGAGAAAGCCCGGAATTGCTGTCTTCACCGTGCCATTATGTTACTACATGACTTTGCAGAACTCCCTTAACCTGTGCTAGCTGTAATTTTCTCACCTTTAGCTGAAATATTATCTTTCCTGTTGTCTTCTCTCGAGGAATTTTGACTTGGCCATGAAGAAGTACTGTAAAACAAAGCTAGAGAGATCATGGAGCTTTGCTTACTTTTATGTGACTTAAAATGCCAGCTCTGAGAAGTACCACATGTATGTCTGTAGTTGGAAAAGGTGCTTCCTGAGTGGCACTATTGTCCAAGGCTACAATAGTTACTGCTGGGTTGTAAAAGCAGAGAATATGAACTTCAAAGGAAATTTATGCTTTTATCTTCACAGAAGAGGAAGCTGAGTTTTTTTTTTTTTTTTTTTTTTTTTTTTGTTGTTTGTTTGAAGGATTACAGAGCAAATTAGTTTCTCATTAAACAATTAATACAAATATCCTAGGTAAGGGCAGTTCTAATGGCTTCCACTTGGGTCGGTTTTTTTTTTTTTTTTTTTTTTGTCCTTTCTTCCCTTTAGCAGTTTTATTTGAATTGGGCCTGGAAGAAGTGGAGAGAGAAATAAGTAAAGGTAGCTGTTGGTTGGACTACTTGATGCATAATGAGTAATAGTGAGCAGTAAGTTCAAAAATGTAGATTAGATCCAGGTAGTAGAAGTTTCTGATTTTAACAGTACTTTAAAAAACATTGACTTTCAACTATGTGCCAGTTTTTTGTTTTTTTTTGCATATGTTATCTGTTACAATCATCATACACAATTTCACAGAAGGGGAAACTGAGGCTTAGGCAACTTGCCTGAGCCCTGACAGAGAAGAAAGGCACAATTCCTTTCTAGGAGTTCACAGCCTACAAAGAGACAAAAAGGGACCCAGAGTTGTAATTCATTGTTCTGAGCACTATACGTGATAGAGATAGGTGCAAACCACAGCTGTTCACTGCAGGAAACCACCGTCTCAGACAAGTTGTTGAGAAGGCAGAAGGGGAGAGAGAGTTGAGGAAGATTTCACTGAAGTGTTGGTAGAGCTGGGTATTGGAGAAGGAGTTTGGGCTAATGATACGGTGGGGGAGAATGTGTTGGTCCGAGGGAATGGCATATTAAAGGCACAGATATACAGAGTTGTACGAGGGGTCTATAAGGAGCCATATGACTGGAGGATAGAGTAGAAAGGGGAGAGCACTGGGCAGTGAGACTGCAGAGATATTCAGGCTTGATCATGAAGGATCTTGGGTGCCATGTAATGGCGTTTGAATTCTGCCAGGCCTGGGGTTTGGGGAAGAGCCGTCCTTTCAAAAATAGACATTTTTTAGACTTCTGATACATCTAAAGAAGTCACTGAGGCAGCCTCACAGCACTCTAGACGTCTAGTTAACACAGTGTAAAAACTATGGTAGGCAAAGTGGAGGCACTGAGGGGGTTTAGATTTGCCCAGGACTTGAGTGGGGTTCCTGGGATTTGGAGCTTTCAGTTTTAAAACAAGGATGAGTCGGTCACTCTAGTTTTAGGCAGGAATGTAACATCTAGCATGAAAACTACTCTGATAGAATTTGGAGAGTGGAATAGGGAGGCAACCGGAAGAAACACAAAGGATCTAACAGTTATGGATACCGCTATGGTCTAGAGAGGTCCTTCATGCCTTACAGGTATTATATTAAACTAGGCATTGTTTACTTTATTTCACTAACAGAAAAACTGAAACTCATAAAGTTTAAGTGATTTGCCTCAGGTTATGAAGCAATAAGTGGCACCACTGGGAATTGGACCCAAGCCTGTTTGAATCCAGTGTCCCAAGCCCTGTTCATTAGTCCCAGGGTGAAGACTCTGGAGGCAGGGAGAGACTATTGCTTAAAAGTGTATAAAAACGATAGGGGAGAATGAAAATTTAGGGGAAGAAGAGGAAGAAAAAACAATCTTGATGAGTATCTACATTTAGAGGATGGAAAGGAAAAAGGAACCATAACCCTTGCATGTGTGTGTGTGTGTGTGTGTGTGTGTGTGTGTGTGAGAGAGACAGAGAGAGACAGAGATAGAGAGAACACGAGAATAGTATAGTTTGATCAAAGAAAATGGCAAAGTTGGTGTCATGGATTGAATGGTGTCCCCCAAAAATGTGTGTATCAATTTGGCTAGGCCATGATTCCCAGTATTGTGTGATTGTCCACCATTTTGTCATCTGATGTGATTTTCCTGTGTGTTGTAAATTCTACCTCTGTGATGTTAATGAGGCAGGATTAGAGGCGGTTATGTTAATGACGCAGGACTCAATCTACAAGATTGGATTATCTCTTGGGCCAATCACTTTGGAGATATAAAAGAGAGGAGTGAGCAGAGAGACCGGGGAACCTCCTACCACCAAAAAAGCAGCTCCAGGAGCAGAGCACATCCTCTGGACCCGGGGTTCCTGCACAGAGAAATTCCTAGTCCAGGGGAAGATTGATGACAAGGACCTTCCTCCAGAGCTGGCAAAGAAAGCCTTCCCCTGGAGCTGATGCCCTGAATTTGGACTTCTAGCCTACTAGACTATGGGAGAGTACACATCTATTTGTTAAAGACATCCATTTGTGGTATTTCTGTTATAGCAGCACTAGATGACTAAGACAGATGGTTTCAAGAAGGAAAGGATGGTCCCCAGTGTCAAATGTCATAGAAGCTGAGGACAATGAGGACTGTGAAAAGTCCACTGGAGTTAATATTAGGAGGTTGTTAATGGACTGTTTCAGGCAGAAGCCATTTTGGACTAAGTGAGTGTGGTGGCTTTGTAATACGTCAGTTTGGCTAGGCTGAACTGTATTTCACAGAATTTCCTTCCCTGAGTATTTTCAGTTAAGAGTGGTCCACGAGAGATATTAGCATGTAAGATTTTGAGGGCTGAGTGAAGTAGTGATTTTGTTTTTTGATGCTTTGAAGATGGTGGCAGGCGTTTTTGTAGTTCACACATGTTGCCTCTTATCTACTGGCCCACCTCACTTACGTGGAGCAGCAGCCAAGCCTGTAACTGCTCTACTTTCCCCCGATTCTCCTTTAGCCTCTCTGAATCCTGGAACAGGTGTGTGTTTAGCTCTGTAATGAAGGGTGCCAGCTTCTGCTGCAAGATACCCACATCGTCAAAGTTAGAAGGAGCGAGGGCTGACAAGATTCTAGTTTGTACTTGTGAGTTCCATCTTGTGCTTGCTCTTACTCAGTGTATATCCATCTTTCCTTCCCAATTACCTTCCCTGCAATTTTCAAGCTCCAGCATCAGACAGGAAGACAGTAAGCCTTATAGAGACTGTTTATGTAGATCCTACACTTAGCAAAAAACAAACCAAACCTGTTGCCGTTGAGTCGATTCTGACTCATAGTGACCCTGTAGGACAGAGTAGAACTGCCCTATAGGGTTTCTAAGAAGAGGTTGGTGGATTCGAACTGCCAGTCTTTTGGTTAGCCGCTGAACACTTAACCACTGTGCCACCAGGGCTCCATATATCTCACAGTGGTTCTAATTTTTTGGTTGAATGCTGACTGACACAGTGAGGGATGAGAAAAAGGAGGCAATAAATATAAATTATTCTCTGGAAAAATGTGATAGTCATACAATAAATATTTATTGAGCCCCTTTTATGTGCCTGTGCTTGATTCAGAGAGTATAGTGATGAACAAAACTAATATGGAAAGTAGTTTACAGTCTAAAGAGGGAGACAGATAATTAAAAAGTAAACAAACTTGTTACTAATGGTACGAATAAGGAAACTTGGTGGTATAATGGTTAAGCGCTCAGCGGCTAACCAAAAGGATGAAGATTTGAGCCCACCCAGCAGTGCCATGGGAAAAAGATCTGGCGATCTGTTCCTGTAAAGATTACAGCCTAGAACACCCTATGGGACAGTTCCACTCTGTCACGTGGGTCACTCAGTGACACCCAGCAACAACGAATGGTATGAAGGCAAAAAACAAAACAGATGAACACAGAAGGTATGAAAGTATATTGTTTAGATGGAGACATCAGGGAAGCCTTTTTTAGAATGTGACATTTAAACTAAAACCTGAAGGATAAGCGGGACTTAAGAAGATCATTTCAGGCAAGAAGGATAGCGTGTATAGGTCCTGGGGTAGCAAAGAGTCCCATGTGAAGAGGCCAGAGTGCTAGAGCCTGGTGAGTGAGAGGGTGGTAACCTTATGGCTTTATACTGGTTTAATTGTAAAAGGCTTTTTTTTTTTTTTTAAAGAAAAGTGGATATCTGTTCATATAAGCAATTTCAGTCACCAAAATCAGCATATTCACCTAGAGTCGCTGTCTCTTAGCAATGCTCTGATAATCTCCCAACCCTCAGCTTAATGATTTCCATTCTGAGCATCTAGATCTTGCATCTTGTGCTCAAGTGCTCAAGCAGCATTGGATAATCATATATTGATATTTTACAAAGCGTTCTTCCCTTGGGTAGGAACTTTATCTGAATGATTGTATTAATCAAAACTCTTTTTAATTGCAGGTATCAGAAACAGTACTGAAATTGACACAAGGACAAAGAGAATATACTGGTTAGTATAATGGAAAAGCACAGGGATAGAATTGCTCCAAGCACAGATGGGTTTTTGAACTGAAATGACTTCATTACAACTCAAGCTCTCCTTCCAACTCTTGGCTCTGCTTTCCTTCTTGTGGTAGATATTCTTAAACAGCTTATTTCCATGTGCTGGTCCCTTGCAGCTCTAGACTTACATTCTAACAGTTTAAACAACCATGGCAGAAGGTTATAGCAAAAGACCAGGTTTGGGACATATCTCAAAACTGAACTGATTGTGACTGGGAGGATGGAATATATGATTGGTCAGGCTTAAGTCAGGTGCCTGCTGTGGAACTCCTGGCCTGGGAGTGGAGGCAGTCTCACTTGGAGTACATGTACTGAGAGCAGGATAAGGCAAATGAATTCCAGTCAGGCAAATAAGAACCAGATGCTCACAACAGTCCATCCCCTGGTTACTCAACATTATGCTTATTCTGGTAGCTCAATCTTGCATGATCCCACAAAATAATACCACTCTGACCAGATATCTTTCCGAAAATGGCTGGTCATGATCACAACCATGGTTTCCCTGGATAATCCCATAAGCACAAGTCCAAGAACTCCTCCAGACATTTGGGAAACCCCTCTTGGGGGAGGCACAGGGAGCAGGGAGATGAGGGGTAGAGTGTCAGAGAGTGTACTGAAGGGAAGAAATGGGTATGGGGCACCATCACCTTGGCTGGTCCCATGCACTGGCTGGGGACTTAATTTTTTTGAGAAAAGCACTGCAAAGTATGGGGACATGCTGAGGCCCAGGGCCCAGGAAAGGGGTCGCACCTGCTTGGATCTAAGGGCAATAGTGGTCTTCCTATTACCTTTGGGGTAAAGTCCAACCTTCTTTGTTTAGCATTTTAATTCCTTAATGATCTGGCATAGCACTCTAACAGGTATGAAGGGGTGTTAGGGATTGAATTGTGTCCCCCCCAAAATGTATATCAACTTGGCTAGGCCATGATTCCCAGTACTGCGTGATTGTCCACCATTTTGTGGACAAAATCATTTGGTATGATTTTCCTATGTGTTGTAAATCCTACGTCTATGATGTTAATGAGGCAGGATTAGAAGCAGTTATGTTAATGAGGCAGGACTCAGCCTACAAGATTAGGTTGTATCTGAGTTAATCTCTTTTGAGATAGGAAGAAGTGAGCAGAGAGACAGGGGGACCTCCTACCACCAAGAAAGCATAGCCAGAAGTGGAGTGCATCCTTTGGACCCGGGGTCCCTGCACTGAGATGCTCCTAGACCAGGGAAAGATTGATGACAAGGACCTTCCCCTGGAACTGACAGAGAGAGAAAGCCTTCCCATGAAGCTGGTGCCCTGAATTCAGACTTCTAGCCTCCTAAACTGTGAGAGAATAAATTTCTCTTTGTTAAAGCTACCCACTTGTGGTATTTGTGTTATAGCAGCACTAGATAACTAAGATGAGGGGGGACTTAGATTCAGTGATATCCTAGAGCCATCTTCTACTGGTTCCCTAGAACAAATTGTGGTCATTTCCTCCCAACTCCACGCTCAGTGATATCACCTTGATAGCTTGAAATTAGCCATGGTGGGAATATTTTACACCTCAGAAATTGCCAAATGATAACAAATTACAGGTTTTCTTTTTCCCCCCCTTTCCGGAGCCAGTTAAATATACAGCCATATACCCATTGCTTAGATTATTGTTGAAGGAATGTTTTCTTTCTAGAGTAAGAAATATGTATGCCAGGGCCCCCAAGAATAAGTGCTTTCAATGTGTGTACTGGGCAGAAAGGTATTTTAGAGCTAGGGAATTTGAAAGGAGAAGATGAACATTTAAACGATAGGGACAGAATTTTAGGAAGGTAGTTTTATATAGTTAAGCTTAATTTAACTAAGGGCTTTGGCATCAGACAGACGTGGAAAAGTTGGAAATCTCTAATTCTTTTATGAAGCCAGCTGATTTTAATGTCAAAACTTGATTTAAAATACAAAAAAAAAAATACTACTTATGAATATAGATGCAAAAGTTGTATAAAAATTAATAAATACAATCCAGCAGTGTATCATATTAATAATAAACAATTCCCATTGATATTAATTTCAGGAATGCAAGGATAGTTCAATATAAGTGTCTTAGTCATCTGGTGCTGCTATAACAGAAATACCACAAGTGGATGGCTTTAACAAAGAGAAATTTATTCTCTCACAGTCCAGTAGGCTACAAGTCCAAATTCAGGGTGTCAGCTCCAGGGGAAGCCTTTCTCTTCTCTGTCGGCTCTGGAGGAAGGTCCTTGTCATCAGTCTTCCCTTGGTTTGGCAGCATCTCAACGCAGGAACCTCAGGTCCAAAGGACACGTTTTGCTCCTGGCACTGCTTTCTTGGTGGTATGAGGTTCCCATGTCTCTCTGCTTGCTTCTCTCTTTTATATCTGAAAAGAGATTGGCTTAAGACGCTATCTAATCTTATAGATCTCATCAATATAACTGCCACTAATCCATCTTTTACATCATAGTGATAGAGTTTACAACACGTAAGGAAATCACATCAGATTACAAAATGGTACACAGTCATACAGTACTGGGAATCATGACCCAGCCAAGTTGACAGATATTTTTGGGGGACACAATTCAATCCGTGACAATAAGGAAAACTGCCAACATAATTAATTACATTAACATATTTTAAAAAATCATAGATCGTATCAACAGATTATGAAGAAACAATTGATAAATTTAAATTGCCATTCCAATAAATTTCTCAAGTAAAACAGGTGACAACAAAGGCATAAACCAAAAAGAATTCATACATTTGACTATATTAAAAAAATAGCTTCTCTTCATCAAAAGATACTGTATGCAAAGTAGAAATATACAGAAAGGGAGAAAAGATTTGCAATATGAAAAATTTGTATTCAGAAGATTTAGATAGTTTCTACAACTCAATATGTAAAAGACAAAAAACCCAAAAGAAAAATTGAAAAAGGATTTGAATAGGTAATTTACTGAAAGAAAAGATAATCTCACTGTTAATAAATTAAATACAAATTAAAATAGTAATGAGATACCATTACACACCCGTAAAATTAGCTCAATTTCGGAAGCATGCTAATACTAAATGTTGGCAAGATGTGGAACGACTGGACTTCTTGTAGACACTTCGTGGGAGTATAAATTGATACTCTAACTTTGGAGAGCAATTTTGCAACATCAGGTAACTGAAAATATGCATAATGTATTGGGTTTAAACTGTGCGAAGTTTCTTAGATTCTTGTGACTACCTCATTCTTTCTAAAGATGCTTCCTACCTCCTAGTTTGCACAGATACTGCTGCCTTTGCTGGTGACCTTGCCAAGTTTCCCAAGCCCAGACTTCCATAGCCCTTATCCTGCTAATGCCAAGCCCTGTTCATATTGGGTGACCTTTCTCCTTCCAGACTTGGATATGATGCCACGCGCAGGGTATGAGATTTGGCTACCTGAGTGGCTGCCAAGTTGCCCGATGATACAACCTGCAATGAAGGAGGGGGAAGGGAGTCAGCTCCTGATGGGGTGAACCTTGAATTTTGGGAAAAGGGAGAATGGGAGAGAGATGGCAGGTAAATTCCTTCTTCCTTTTTTCCTTCCATAATTATGGGAAAAGAGTCACAGGCTGAGTGAACATATCTGCCAAATGACCCACTATCTTTTTGTGGCTTACTGTGCATAGTAATGCATTGCTTTTGTATTGCTCTGGATCTTTTCTTGCCTCACTTTCCTTTTTCCTTATTCCCACTGCCCTGGGCCTGTGTTATTGTTGATAGTTGCCATCCGGTGGGCTCCCACTCGTGGTACTGCATGTACAACAACAGAACGAAGTGTTTCCCCGTCCGGCACCATCTTCACGATCATTGGTGCGCTCGAGTCCATTGTTACAGCCACTGTGTATTTTGAGTGCCTTCCAGCCTAAGGGGCTCATCTTCCAGCATTATACTGGACAGTATTTTGTAGTGATCTATAGAGTTTTCATTGGCTAATTTTTGGAAGTAGATCACCCGTCCTTTCTTCCTAGTTTGTCTTAGTCTGGAAACTCCACTGAAACTTGTCCATCATTGGTAACAGGTGTTTGCTGGTATTTGCAATACCCATGGCATAGCTTCCAGCATCATAGCAACAGGCCAGCTGCCACATATAACAAACTGACAGGTGCTGGCCTGGGCTTGTATCTCCTAAATAAAGTGTCAGCATCTTCATCCTTGCCTCAGGCTGATATGAAGAGGAAACAGGCTAAGATACTTCATACAGTAAAACCTGCAAAAGTCGGAACCTGTGTAAGGTGGAAACTTGTCAGGGAAGGAAAACTCAAAATATTTTCCATTAAGACGAGTGATAGAAAAGTGGTAAGACAGCACCTATCAAAGATGGAAAACTCGCAGGACTCGGAGAGACAAGGCAGTCCCTTTGAGTTCCAGCTCTCACGGTTTTCACTGTAATTCTGCTTCTAGTTTCAAACCACTGAGAGAGTCTTACATATGCGCCTCAGGGGATATCTATAAGGATGTTCATTACAGCCTTGTTTGTGATAGTAAAAAATTATGAACAATTACATATTACTGTGGTGATTTATACAAGGAGATAATACACTTCACGGAAAGTGAATAAACTAGAGCTACATGTATGACATGGATAAATCTCAGAAGCGTGGTGAAGCAAAAAAGGAGCAGAAAAATGCACATTGTGTACAGCCATTTAATACAAAGCTTATAAGCATATAAAAACATACATTTTTAGATGTGTGCAGTTGTATAGAGATATAAAACTGTTTTTGGGAATGAGAAGCACTCGCTTCAAGATGGTAGTTGTCTTTGGAGAGAAAGAGAAATGAGATCTGTGAAGAGTCTATTGGGAGCTTCAGTGATGTCTGTAAAACTTTATTTCTTAAGTTTTATGGTGGACCACAGGTAGAGCGGTCTGAAAAAAGATTGTGCTGAATGTATTTATTTTTCCTCTCAAGATTCAAGATCGCCTTCTCTACCTTGCTTTGTGCCCGAGAAGGCAGAAGCTGACCTATATGAACTGTACAATGAGCTTCCTTGCTCTCTGGATTCCCGTTGTTCCAGCCAATGGGGAGCATCCCAAGATCAGAGGAAAGGAAAAGAGTAAAGCTGAGGTATCATCCCTGTATTCCTATTTTGTATAGGTTTTTTTTTTTTCTTATTTACTGAAATATTCTACAGAAGCATGGGGAAGATATGGCAGACACATGTTAGGTTGTTGACGTGGGTTGTGATGAGGGTGGGGTGGAGGTGATATGGGTGAAGAGGAAGGAAAGAGGGAAAGGAAGCCAAACCAGGAAGAAAAATAAAACTACTCTTTAAAAAAGAGCTAAGGGTAGGATGTGGGCATTTGTTAATGCTTCATAGGGAATTCTGTTTCTCATTAGAGGGAACAGCCAGTGCAAACTCTCTGAGGCAGGATGAGGCCAGTGTGGCTTAAGCTGAGTGACAGAGGGGCAGAGTAGTAGGAGCAGAGGTGAGAGTTAAGAGTGGGTGGGTAGAGTAGGAACACTATAAGAAATTGAAAGGATTTTGGCTCTTACTCTGATCTTTAAGTTAATATTATTTTGCTAACCTCTTCCACAAATTCTTAGTTGCCCTCCCCTCTCACTAGTTCCTGAGGCTAGAGGGTGGGGCATCTCAACCCTCAGTAGTGGCCCAAAGGGCTGGTGAGTGGTTTGCAAATCAAAACTGGAAGAACAAGTTAAATCTGAACTGCCAGCCTAGTAGGATAAGTAAAGAGTAGGGACCAAGGTATGGAGTCAAATGAAGGGCTTTAAGGCACAGGCCAGGCAGGAGGGCGGAGCAGCAGCGTTGGCAAGCAGGAGGGAGGGATTTAGGAAATGACGTGCAGACATCTACGGCTGTTCAATTTGTCCCTGTCAGAAGTCTTGAAGTCCTTTAGAGCAGATATTTGCTCTCTTATAATCTTGTCATTGATCTTAGGTTTCAGTTTCCTCTTACCAGTCTTCTGTGTTTTTCATTCTGAAGATATTTTCCTTGATTAAGAAAAGAGTAGTCAAATTGTTAAGACTCTGTTCTCTTTGTCATTTCTCAACCCAGCCATTTGCAATCCATTCTTCTGCAGTGATTTTTTCTCCTATGCAGATCTGATTATGTTAGGCTTTCTCTCACATTTGTGATAAAACCCAACTTTTGTTTTTTGGTTAATGAGGCCTCCCTTGATTTTGTCTCCTCTTTATTTTTCTGGCTTCAAAAGTGATACAATTTCTGGATGGAGCAGAGTTCCTCAACAGTAGCATTATGTGGGGCCAGATAATTTTCTGTTGTTGTTGTGGGGGGCTGTCTTGCACATTGTAGGTTGTTTAGCAGCATCCCTGACCTCTACCCACTAGATGCCAGTAAATTCCTCCAGTTATGACAACCAAAAATGTCTCCAAATGTTAGCAAATCTCCCTTGGGGGGCAAAATCACCCCTGGTTGAGATCCACTGGGATAGAGCCTGCTAGTTGAGTCTTCCTTCCCTCTCTATCTGCTGTTCTTTATGCATGGAGTGACCTTCTCCCTGTGGTCATCCTGCTCATCTCAAAGTTTTCTGCTCTGTTGTTTCTCCCCCGTGACACTTCCATGACTCCCAAGGTGGAGTTAGGCAAGTTGGCCTTCTCAGTCACACAGCACCTTGCCTTATTAGAGCAAGATCCAATGGATTCTAATTCGCTAGGTTTATCTGTCTCCGTATCAGACTGAAGGCTCTTGAGGACCAGACTCTTTAACATTTTGTCGTCTAACCAAAAAACCAAACCAAACCCGTTGTCAACTTATAGCCACCCTGTAGGACAAAGTAGAACTGCCCCATAGAGTTTCCAAGGCTATAATCTTTACAGAAGCTGATTGCCACATCATTCTCCCGTGGAGAGGCTGTTGGGTTCGAACCACCTTTTACATTCTATACCTACCTAAATACCTGGCCCGGAATTTTGACAATATCAATGTGCATCTCTAAAACTTTGTAAGTTTAGGTGGTAGGTATGATTAAGGCAACTTAGAAATGGCATTTAAGGGCAAATTGGTTTTTCCTTTATAGCTAATGCGTCTATGATATTCAAGTTTTAGTTTGTTACTCCATCTGAAATATGATACATTGTACGTATTTTGTGAATCATTGCCTCTAATTATTAAACTTCCTTTTGAATACAATTTACAGATTATGTGTTTCATATGTACAGCTCAAGCTTTGACAACTTAATGGCTTATGAAAATTTTACAGACGTTATATAATACCATGTATAGTTATAGATACATGTTTCTGCTTTGGGGGTTTTTTGGGGAAGAAGTAGGACATATTCTTGAATATCCTTAAATAACTAATCGCTTTCATAGTCATAACCATTATCTGATAATAATTTAGTATTTGTATTTTTTGTTTACTAATTTAGGACAAACTGTGCTTTAAAAAGTTATTTCCATTTAGGAGGTTTGTTATCTATTAGTGATGATTGTGAAAAATATTTTGAACATTGGGGTTCTAAATAGTACTATACCTTACCAATGCTGCCATCTCCTGGAGGCTGTTAAACACTGTAACAATGAAAGAAGTTCTAGTTCTTCATGATGGTTTCCAAAAGTAATGGGATACGTGGCTATAAGAAAAGCTTTTATTTCCATTTTTTGTTTGTTTGTTTGATTGTTTAGTTTGAAAAAGGCATGGATAATTAAAAACAAAATTCTCCCATAAAATTCTTGACTATCTACCTACCTTCCTCATCACCTACTGCTGGGGAAAGAATGGTAGGATAGTGGTCGTGTATAAAACGGGTATGCTAAATATCTGTATTTTGCTTCCGTAGAGCCATCATCCACCCTTCTCTACCCTGCTTTGTGCCGTAGGAGACAGAGGCTGATCTATATGGACTGTATCGAGCAGCTTCCTTGCTTTCTAGCTTTGCATTAGATCTGGACAATGGGGAGTATCCAAAGGAAATCAGAGGGAGGAAAGAGAATAGAACTGGAGTATTTATTCCGCTAGCTCCCTTCCTGTGAGGTCATAGGGCTCTATCCCTCAGCTGAAAGTCATTTCCTTGGCAAAGGCCCTTACCAAAATGGATCACTCTCTTATTCACTCAGAAATTAGTAATCATTCCCTCCCTGTATCCTAGAGGCCTAGGGTTGGTAACAGTACCCAACCGTTATGAAACCTAGAGCGCTGCACAGTCCCCTATGGCTACCCTACACTCTGCCCATACATCTGTAAATGATCCTTTCATTAAGTATTCCTTCAGTCACTCCATTTGAGTCTATTTCCTGTTTGGCCTGTGATGAAAACAATGGGAATAATGATAGCAATTAGTTTATAGTCTTGGTATAAGTGTTAAATAAATTAAACCTGACGAGTGCTTAAAAAGGTACCTAAGAAAGAGATAACCATGAAAGCAACTGGGAAGAAAATAATAGTGATGGAGGACAAAGATGATCCAATACTAGCATAATTGCTATTCCTTTAGTGGAGAAACCCCCTAAAATGGAATCTTACCTAGAAATATCTTTATAGAAAGGATTCAGAGATACAGTGAAACCTACAAGAACTGGAACTCAACGGGACTTCCTTGTTTTTCTGGATTTTGCAAGTTTTCTGCCTCTGACGGAGTGTAGTCTTACCAGTTTTCTATCGCTTGTTTTAGTGGAAAAGATTTGAGTTTTCCTTCTCTGATAGGTTTCCACCTTACACAAGGTCCAGCTTTTGCAGGTTTTACTGTATAAAAAAGGAAAAAAAATTCTGACATAAAGAAATATCTGGATTCTGGAAAGATGGTGGCATAAACAAACCATTGTTCTGACCCTCCCCCACAAATGCAAGAAGAAATACAACAAGGAAATGGTGCCTGGCTTTGAGGGACTCTGAATTGAGGAGCAGAGGAAAGCAGCAGGGAACTGCAGACAGGCAAGAATTAACAAATCAAAAGCAAGTCTCATACATTAGGAAAATCTCTTCTCCCACCATCCCTGCCTTTCCCTCAGCCATGCAGGCCACCAGCTGCTGTGAACTGGGTTAGCGGCCCCAGAAAAAGAGCCTCTTCCCTAAGCACCACAGCCCCTGCCTGTACAAAGATAGGACCCCAAGCTCCTGCCCTAAAATCAACAAGGCAGACCTCCCCAGGGGTCCATTTGTAGTGTGCCAGCACCTATCCCACTGAGACACTGTTGGTTGCAAGCCTACTGTAAATTGCTACAGAAGGCCTGTACAGTGGAGTCTACTCTCATAGTCAACACTCTACCTGCTTCCCTGTGCACTCCAGAGCTCAGGCCTCTGAAACCAACAGGACAGACCTCCCGGGGAGTTAGTTCAGGTCAATCTGATCCCTGTTCTGGATGGTGCTGAGGACCACTGACTGAGGCTGCTGTGTGCTAAGAAGCAGACATCTTTAGTGGAGGCTACACCCACAGCCAACATACTACAGGGAGGGATCTGATAGCAACAAGGCAGACCTCCCTGGAGGTCCATTTGGAATGTGACAGCTTCTCCCCCACCTGGACACCGTCACCTGCAAGTCTGCTGTGAATTGCTAAGGAAGGGCCCTGTAGTGAAGTCCGCTCCCATAGTCAGCACTGTACCTGCCTCCCTGTGTACCCAATAGCTCTGGCCTCTGAAACGAAAAGGACAGACCTCCCTGGCAATCAGTTTGAGTCTGTCTGATCCCTCTTCACAGTTGATGACGAGGACTGCTGACTGAGGCTGCTGTGTGCCAGGAAGCAGGCATCTTGGGTGGAGGCTACAACCACAGCCAACATACTATGGGGCAGGCTCTGATATCAACAAGGCAGACCTCCCTGGGGTTCCATTTGGAGTGTGACTACCCCTCCCCCAATCAGTAATTGTCAGCTGCTGGACTAATACGAACTCCTACAGAAGGTTCCCTACAGTGGAGTCAGGAGGTGGGTCACCTAAGAGGAGACTGCTCCCCCAACCACCGTAGGGCCACTGGGGCTTTGAAACCAACAAGACAGATCTCTTGGAGGTCCTTCTCGGGAGTGCCAGCCCCTCTTCCTCCTAAAACAGGAAAGTCTGCCTGTGCTTCCCTTACATGCCGGCTCAGATACAAGCAGCCAACCACAGAACAGGGAAGGAAAT